TTCATAAGACACGCGTCCTGCATCTACTTTTAGGATCAGCTATGTCGATAGCGTCGAAATGTTAACTTTGCAGATAGAATAAGAGAGGTGATAGGTTTTAAGCTCGGCTTTAGCCTTGCTCGACCAATCAGATCATTTGAACCATTCTAACAAGGGTTCCGATTGGCTTATTGTAACGTGCTTTACGAGAGTGTAAATCATGTTGACGACACTGTTGTTCGCTTTGAAAATATGGTTTGTTTTGAACTTTGAAAGTAATGCTCGGGAAATTTAACGGATTTTTTATAATTAAATAAATAAAAAGCCTTGACTGTGCTCTGTTCTGTTCAAGAAGTGAGGAGAAACACTCGAGTACGTCTCGTGTTTCTCCCTACACTTCTTTCGTGCTCTGGCTGCTTCTTGCCTGCTTTACAAAGAACAGAGCACAGTCAAGGCTTCTCCATTGGTTAAATTGTAGTCACTTCTGTCACGTGTTACAGATACTTGTTTAACTTGGTGAAATAATTCGCAATATAGTTAATCAGTTACGACAGAAGTTCTAAGATGCATACAGCTTAGATTGAAATTTCTAATTGATAAATCGCTACGCCACACGTCTTAATCTAATGCACTGTCACTTGTTGATGTGAAAGCCATGAAGCACTTGCAACATAATCATTACTCAGCTAAATGTGGAAATTTTTCCTCAGTTTTTGTGTCTTCAGACAAGACCACCGGGCTACAATAGTGGGTGGTTAACTGGTTATATTGAGCTTAGTGCCTCTGTGGCTCCAGATTAGATCCCAGCTCGAAGCATGTCTACTTTTTGTTATTTATGCATCGTTTTTACCCAATTATAGGAAGTAAACGCGTTAGAGGGCTCAAACCGCCCAGGCTATGACATTGAAAGAAAGTAGATTTATGCTATACTTTGATTCCGTGTTCTCACCCGAAATCGACTCGTCGTGAATAGAAGAGGTGACAATAGATAAACTTTCAAACTATATTTGCTCTCAAGACTGACTGTATATGTATTGGTCGACTCACGGCTTAAGAAACAGAAACAATTAAAAATAGAGTTGTAAAAGATCGCTAACACATTGTTTATGTTTGGTTTGCATATTTATCATCTTTAATTGAGTCTCCTGGGTGAGTTTAACCTCAGCTTTTCCTCTTTCTCTATACTCAGCCTCAATTCTGATGCAATGCCAAGCCTCGGAAACAGTTTTAAGAAATTAAAATTCCTCCCATTTATCTTTGCAGAGAATTTGGCATGATACAGCTGGGGTCATATTTCGTGACTAATAAGCCTTTAATGCAGTTCCAAAGCTTTTTCTGTATTGTCCAATATTGGTCGTGGTGAGGCCTCTTCAAGGCAAGTTACCGCAATTACTACAAAAAAAAAAACAACAACAAAAAAACCGCGAAAACTTTAATTTGTTCCGCTAAATAAATTTTCTGAAAATTTGACAACTTGTTTTAATTCATGTTAAACTGAGCCAAATAAAGTTTTGCTGATGAGAAGCATACTACATACGTAACCGTGAAAGTTTCACGGTGAAACTAGGGGATATTGGGAACTTGTGTTAAAGTGTCACGAATGTTGCCCAGGACTTACATTATGAATTTATTCTTCAGTTGGACATAAAGGGAGTGTTGTCCGCGCATAATACCAAAGTGAGAACTGTGGGGCCGATGCATAACTTTTTTTTCAGCAAGATGGTGCATATCATGGAGCCGTGCTACTGGCTGCTAATGATGTTTCATCTGTTTGGTCTCTTCTACAACGTACGACTATTAAGAAGCTGCTTCAAGGACAAAACGAAATACGCGGTTCTTCAGAAAAGCAGGCCACTAATGATTTGCCAGAGTATTTTACAGCTTATCCTTCTCGGTTTGAATGCCAACGAAGCCACAATGGCATTCACAAACAAACAGCAGGAGGAGTGGTGCGGAACAAACAGCATTCTTATGACTTCTGTTGGATTCCTTATGATTTACAACATTTTGGCAATGCTGGCAATCGAACATCACACCATAGTCGGCCTCACGAAAGCAATATCCCCCAAAGTGGCATTGATTTTTCTTGTAGTTATCAGCACTGGGATTGGATTATTGTTGGTTGTTTCCTCCGCTGCATATTTGTGTTCATCTCATCTTGCCATAACTGTGGCCTGCTTGTTGATTATGGGCCTTGTTTTGGTGGTGTCGTGGAGAATTTGCACCCATACTGAGGACGACACAGAGGAATTGGCAGACACAACCACTTTGCTAAACTTTTTAAGCAAAAATAAGATGTCTGTATTTTATACGATTTTAATTTCTTTAGGTATTACTACAATTATAGCTTTGGATGTCGTTTGCTCTGCTGCATACCGATTTCAAGAGTCCGAAGAAACGTTCCAAAGTTTAAGGTTTGTTGAGAGGGTCATTTACCTGTATGTTATGTGTTTTGCTGTCGGCATTTCTCTTCCTTTGCATTTTAGACAAATAATTGAGTGCGGCTGTGTCCAAGAAACGGACGTTAAAGCCATTGAGGTGTGAAATTACGAATTACTCAATTCACCAGGAAATGTATTATTTACGGAATGGTCCAATACTCTTCAGTCAGAATGATCTTTGTGCCTTGTAAAGAGTTATGACCTGCGGCCATGTTTTTGGGCCGTAGACGGTTAGTTCTGAGGTAGTTCAACCATAGTGGTAAGCTCTATGATATATCTGCAAATTACCATCGAATTAAAGAAAAACTTTGTTTTGATTGATACGTTAGGCAAATGTAGGTTGGGAAAAACGCAATATGCAGCCTCCAGAATAAAAGTGTAGGTTCCTATTGTTATAGCTGCAGCAATCGTAAATAGTAGTAGTGCTCTACATCGGGACTCTAATAAATTAAGTCAAAGAAGTGTCCTTTGAGTCGCCTCCATTTCAATCCCCACTAGACCACCAACTTGTGGATATTTTTCACAGCTTAATTATTGCTATTGACTCATTTTAAGTAACGAATGAATCATGAGTTCCATATAATTTTCTTCTCAACAAATCATCAGCATTTTTCAATCCATATTTGTTATATCGTAAAAAGTGAGAAAATTTGAAAGTATGAAAATTAAATAATTCGATTTGTTCTATTCGACGCAAGCAGTGTGCCTTAGGGATTCTCTTTAAGAGGGTTGATTTAATTGAATAAATACCTTTCCAATATAAGCTTTCGGCCCTCTTGACACTGCTCACAAAAATAAATGTTCAGGTTCGGCGAGACTGAAGATGGCTTAGAACGCGGTTTTGTTAAACAATGGCTAAACTTTGCTTCAATAACTAGCCTTGTATATTTAAAGGTGTTCTTATTCCAGGACTTGAATATCAGTAATGCTTAAAACTAATAAAAAGTAACTGAAAGCTTGTTTGCATCGTTCCATTCACTTCTGTTTCGTATACGGGAATCTGATGCAATCGTGACACTTTTATCTTTGCTCGAGGTTATGTTCACAATATAAGGCTGAAGACGAAGCCTTCTGAACAAAGAGGAAAAAATTATCCCCGAAATTAACGTGTCCATTTGAACTTATTAGGAACAGCAGCACTGAATGCTGCTGTTATCATTGTGACACCTTTTGGTAGACCTAACTGTTTCTTTATGGGCGAGGGTGCCGACCAAAATGAAACGCATCGCCTTGATCAAAAAAAAGAAAGGTACATCGGTAAGAGTCTAATATTGTCTGAGAGTGAGTCGTAATCAGGTATCAGCTGTTACTTGTTGCCACGGTGACGAGATTAGGTCCTATTTCACTGGAGTCCAATTAAAACCTACAGTCAGACTTAACGGTAAAAAAACACTAAATTCTTTCTTACTGAAACGGGTCCCGCAAGGACCAATCTCACTTTGGCAACAATTTTGAGACAACAGAGCTTACACATCTTATAATAAATACACGCTTGTGTTAAGATTGTTTTAGCAAAGTGGAACCATTTTTTCATAAAAAGAAACGTATTGCCCCCCAAAACATGATTTTATTGAAACAAGGAATAACTCATGTTATTAATTATTACAGTAATTTTCAAATTCAACATTCACCGTTTCTTTTTGACGTCTGTCGTTGAGTTTGTATTCATAAAAGCACTTCTTTAGTGCGTTCAGGGCTTGAAGTTCATTCCTTTGTCCTTCCTAGAATAGCACCGGCGAACCATTCCGTTCATAGAGAGTTAACCCTTTCACCCCAAAGATCTCATTGGTAATGTTCCTTACTGTCTGCCATACAATTCTCATGATGGTAGTTCAGAGAATTTGGTATTGGATCAACTAATAATCCCATAATTAATATTTTTCTTTATTCTCATCACCTACCTGCTTGATGTTGTATTTATATCGTGGGGCACGATAGGCTGTGACGTCATTACCATGACTAGAAATTCTGTCTTGGTCACTTTTGGGAGTGAAAGTTAGGTAACAGAAAAAGTACTGAAAAACGACAAGGATCATCCCTTAGTTTGCAGTGGTGTCACTCTAAAATTGGTGTTCGTCCCGTGGATGAACCGGTCTTATGAAGGTTTCTGTTCGTGTTATATAATATGCCTTTCTTATCAACTTAAATGTCCGTGAAGACAGCGTTGCGTTTATATAAATACCACCCGTAATCCTCATGAACTAAATTATTTGAATGCTGTAGAAGTTGGGCGATACAGGAATTCATCTGTAAACTGGGGTAAAATTGGGCGGTAGGACTGTACAGGACAGATACATTGCATTACAAAAGTTTAGTCAGTTTAACAAAACTGGATAGCTGGTTTAACAGGAATAAGTGGGTTACCCTGTTAGCATCCACAGTTAATGTAGATAACAAGCGGTCTTCTAAACAAAACAGCATCGCTTCCTGTGAAAGTGATCTAACTCTAGCTTACTTATTTTTTACCACCCCACGGTGGAACACTCCAGATACTCCTCATTTTACCCCAGTACAAGTACATCGAGCTGCCACGCCTGAGATTTGGACGTGATAATCTGGGTACTACTACCTTCCACCATGGCGGCGATGGCGGCTTGAATTATTCGACGATGAAGCAGTTATTTCAAAGGCAGTTTATCTGTCGATTAGTTACTCGGCATTTTCGAGCTCTACACAGTCAGAGTGCAAAAGTGGCGTCTCGCAATTTGACAGAAGGTATTGTGCCTTTACATTGATGCGCATAGCTCATCATGATGAAGTTTGTACGCCATGTGATATACTTTGTATGATCGACTGAACATCTCAACATGTGACGTTGCTTGAGACTATATCTTTACCCTTTAGACGCATATACCCTCTTAGGTATTGGCGGCCATTTATTCGGGTAGTGAGCTCATAAACTTACAGAAATCGCTTTCTTTTCTGGATTAGGGAGGGTTACCTGTTCAATGTTTTCTAAAAAGTAATCTTGATGATGTACAATGTGAACGTACATAATCGATTTAAAGGTAGACTTACTGTCATTGTATAGCTTTCTGCGTTCACTTGTCATCGGTATGTAAATTATAACTTATGATTTCATCGCAAGGCGGTTACTGATCCTTTCTACCTTTTCCTCCCCTATCAAATCTTTTTATATTTAAAAAATAGCCTGAAATAAATTAGACTTAAGACGATAATTTCTTTAGCTGGGCTAATGGAAAGCTGTCGAGTAGTATGAAAACAATGTTTGAGTTGAGTTCATTGCTGTATTTTAAAGCTGGCGATAATTTATGTTGCCTATGACCCTCTGTATCAGCAGATGAATCTTGGTTGACCGTTTGATTGGTTCTGATTCTGCCTTGATCTCTTTACAGCTTTCATGTTCGTTGCAGTGTGTACTCTAGATTTTTACATCGCAAGGTCTTTGAAGCCTTTTTCTGTTTTGGCCATTCCATATGGTTTGGTCTCAATTGGCAGTGATATTGTGCAATTATTGAATTAAGTTGACGATGATATCATGATTTATCAAAGCTGAAGTCCGAGTCATCTGCTGAAGCAACTTCACATGCTATTGTGCATTGCCTGAATGCTCTTATGATCGACCAATCAGATTTTTTGTAAGTCTTATGAATAGTAATACTTCAGTAGTTGATTAAAATCAAACCATCATTAAGCTGATAAGTAAAGCATTCAGCTGATTCAGTGAATAACAAAAGAAACACTCAATGAGTCTAATTATCTACGACCTGGAGCCAGCTTTGCACAACAATTTATAACCAAAATTTCAAGGACTTTAATAGAAGTTGAAAACCAATAACTAAAGTTTGGGCTTTCTTCCAAAATTTCCATGAATCTGACATTCCTTAAGCTTTGTCAGCATACAAACAATACTGTGTTCGTTATGTAACTTCATTATCATTTCTTGTTTTGCTATGTGTTTTCAGATTTGGGAACTGGAACATCAGCAACATTAGTGAACAACAGTGAGGCATATTTCACCAAAAGTTTTCCTCTATTTGCCACTGTTCCCTTTTTACTTCAGAGACCAAATTCATATATTCTAAACATAACCAGTGATGGGAGAGTTTTCCCAGATGGAAACCCTGGATGTGATGCAATATTGCCTGAGATTCCAAAGGAAAGAATTGGAGAGTTGATTTTTCCACATCATTCAAGGATCATCAGAACAATCATCAGGGATCATGACACACATGAACTTACAATTGGTGATGACACACAAAATACCAAAACCTTACAGTGCAAGAGATTTAAGGGCATTCGTAAGATACGTCGTAAGAAGATGAATAAGCACAAGTACAGAAAAAGAAGGAAGCGAGACTTATTCAAACGTAGGCACATAAAAGTTTTTAGGGAAAAAAGGAAAGAAAAAAGGAAGGAAGAAGAGCAGAAGGCTGAGCTGGAGGAGGCCCAGGAACTCAACAAGAATGAAGACATCATTTAAATTAAGCACTCAAGCCTAAAATTATTTTCTTTGAAATAATTTCTTGCACTGGTTATTTAGAAAATGTTTGTCATTTCAAACTCCAGAGGATGGAATCTGATTTTCTTTTCTTATGAATTTGTATTTCTGTTTGCTCTGATTTTGATTGGTATCTGTGCAATAAAAGTTTAAGAAGAAAAAAATTGTCTGTACAAGTGAGCCTGTTTATAGACAACACTGACCTAAATACAGCTGTGATAAAGTCTTGTTAATTGGAAGTTCAGGTGCATTGCCACATATTGTTGCTGAAAAATAATGATATCTATGAGAGAAAATCTTTCACAATTTGAAATTTCATTACTTTTAAAAATTCATAGTATATGCAGCATTAATATTGTGGAACATTGATTAAGATTCCTGACAGTGTGGACTTTTAAGTGAGCCTTGGATGTAAAATTCCATCACAGCTTTGACTCTTATTTGTGCTGTAAGAGAGCCATTATGATATTTTCCAAAAACTGAACCTTTTTCTCCATCCTAGGCAAACAACTAATGCTGTAATGAACCTTTCAAGGAAGTTGTCACAAACTCAGTGTGACAATGTAACTGTTTTTTTCAAACCTATTCCTTGCATTAACCCAGCAAGAAGTCAGTTCTTCAAGTTGAAGGATTGCTGTATACAAATGTACAGCATTGCCATCAAATGGATAGAAATTATTAACTTAGACAACACAAAGTTAGTCAGTCTTTTTTCCATGGAAAAAAAATTGGAATTGATAATTGAATGGGTCTCTTGATTTAAGCATCACTTACAACGATTATATAATCAACAAGTGGCACACAGGTCACACACAAAAAAAGAAAAATAATAATAACCAACGTGACAACAATGTTAACCCATATATGCAGTGCAAATCAGCCTAGCACATTTGTATTGTTGCTATTTGCTGGCCCTTGAATCCTTTTGTAACAAAGAAATGTCTGGCTGGGGGTCTGAAGTCCTCAGTTGAAAAATGGCCCTTTAAATTTCTAAGTTGCCCCAAGTTAAAGCCTTTGCTTTTCTGCAAACTGTCAATTTTAAGAGAATATTTCAACCTTGAAAGTTATCCACATGCTTCTGGGACAATTTCTTTTTTTCACACAAAACAACAAGGACTACCAGTAAAAGCTTCCCCCATTTTAGCAAAAAGCACATCAAGATAATGAAAATACCAAGACCTATTTATTACAGATAATTATAAAAGCATTTACACAATCCTACGAAATGGATTGAAATTATGCTCATATGAGATGACTGGTGAGTGTGTATTTAGTTCAAACATTGATTGAATTCACCCACTACATCATTAAAAACACAGAATGGATTAGGCATGGTATGATGCTATTCTGGTTTAAAGATTGAATGAATATAACTGAGAAGTTACAATCCATAGATCCTGTAACATAAACCGTGTAACTTCTTGGTTACATTCATTAAATTTTTAAACCAGAGTAGCATCAAACCATGTCTGATTGACCACCTGGTTACTTTGTGAACTTTCACATTTATCATAGAATGGATTGTTCTAATTTGCAAAATATATTAATTTCTAAAAATCTAAAAAAGCCAAAAACAAGAAGGAAAAAATGCAAATAAAATGCATCACAAGGCCAAAATTGATTCTCTTTTTCTACTACCCTTTCCCCAGAGGTGCATTCATTACTGCAGCTTTAAATTGTTCCCCCATTCTTCTAGAAAATGGTTTACATTACAAAATGACTTGCAATATTACATTTTGTTTCAGTCAAGGATTAATAACGGTAGCAGCTATTGAGATCCAATTTGAACTATCAGACATTTTTAACTGGGAATTTTTTCATGTTAAGTTAATTATATGTTACCAAGAGTGGCACTTTCTAACAAATGTACTGTGTTATTCAGGTATCAGATTGGTACATGCTGCTCCATGTGAAGGTCTAGAACTTACTCTAACTAACTAACATTCAACTTGTGATTAAACCTAAATATAATCAAGCTGATAACCATGCCTTTTGATAACATATAAGCTCTGAAGTTGAAACAATCTCAATTTCTATGATAACTACCCAGAGCTCTCAAGTCTCCCACATTGAGTGTGAGATTCATGAGAAGAATTCTAATCTTACACTCTCACAATGAAACTACAGTATTTCTCACCCATTTATGGTTTTTTAATTTAAATTGTTGATTTTGAGATAATAATCTACTGCTTTAATAAGTGCATATTACATTATTTATCTTTCTAGACATTAGTTACTCCTTTTTCCCTTTGTACTTGCTCTGATCACTTTCCAACAGTAGAAATTCTGGTCCAGAGCCACCTATATCCAGGTCAGAGAGTTCACTAAATTTCTGGGTAGAACATGCACCCATCCAGAAAGGTGATGCTGCCAGATCTAGGATCTTGCCCTCGAGTAACAGCAAATCAACTTGAGAGCTCTATATACCATATTTAGCACATTAATTTAATTACATTTAAGAAGAAAATATCATCTTTGAATCCTTCAAAAACATTGAATTTTTTATGTGAAAAGTTTGCAAACTTAGGATACTAATTGAAAGAGCTACTTGATTGAAATTTTGATAACTTCAGAGTTTGTTTGTTATTAAAAGCATCAATTATGCTTATCTTTAATCCCTCAAAAGAGGGAATCTTGTTTTGTTTTATGGATGAGAAGAGTGTCCAGGAGCTGACTGTGAGCTTGATTGGCCTTCTATGGTCACATAATTTGAACCTAAAGTGAAAATTTCATTCACATGGTTACTCATCATATAAAATAAAATTTCTCGCTTCATTACTAAACAGGAAAACAAATGTGCAAATACATGCATGAAACTTGATTGGTTTAATAGCCTAGGTCAAGCTGCAATGTGCAGCTCTCAGAGTGTAAGTCTTTGATCCTCTTTTGTCTCTACCTGGACAATAGATTCTAACAAGTGGTTAAAACTTGAGTAAAAGTTACACTCTCTCTGGAACTAGAGGTCTTTAATTTGACATGTTGTTTTGGCCTATACAACTTAACATGGGTGGAAGCTGGCAGGGTAGTTGTGGAGGGGGATGGGGTTCTGACAGAACTTTAAACCACTTGAAGACAATTTTTGAAAGGATATGGATCACATGCTTGAATTCCCCTCATCCTTAATGGCAAAGACAGACTGAAATTTTATTTTGGTATCTGGAGCACACTTCTTCTTCAACACCAACTAATGAGATTCTAGCATGGCAACCACTCCTCCTCCTTCCCTGGAATATTCTGCCTTCACTCCCATTCTGACTCCCAAATCATAACACCACAATTAAGGTCATCTATCTTCCAACAGCTTTTCAAAGTGAGAAATTATAGCAAGAGTTCAGGATGTACCAAAAATAGCCACCTGCACCAGGAAGTCCCACTCATTAAGTGTCAATAAATACTGACTGAAAGTCATAAATAAGGTGACTGCACCTGCACAAATTGCTAACTTAAAGGGTGATTAAAACTAACAATAATAATTATAATAATAATAATAATAAAAACAACATATATATACCTGCCCAGCTGTAACCTTCTCCTCCTCCCCTGTTGCGGTGATTTTGAAAAATAAGCAAGCATGACAGAGGCTAAGAAAAAAGGAAAGACACAACAAAAAATAATACATTCAAACAGTACAAATTATGAAACAAATGAATGTCACCCAGAAACTTGCAAATTTTGTGAAAATTATTCATTTCTCAGATTGGAGATATCGAGGTTAGCAGAAACAAATTTGCCTGCTTGAAGTTTTAACCCTTTAATTCCCATGAGTGACCAAGACAGAATTTCTCCTTACAATATCAATACAATATCAGGCAGACAGGTGATGAGAAAAAAGAAAAATATCAATTAGAGGATTATAAGTTGATCAAATACCAAATTCTCAAAATTGACACCACAAGAACTATATGACAGACAGTGGGGAGAATTACTAAAGAGATCTTGGGGGTTAAACGGTTAACTGAGAACTAATGAATTATTATTGCCACTTTTCCATTCAAGTAACAGAACGTATTTGAACAAGAATGAGAACATAATATTTTAAATTGTACCAGTCCTTTCAGAGGTCTGTTAGACCAGGCCAACATATAGCCAATGTTACATTATTATTTTTTCCTGGAGGGCTTCAATTTGTCAAACACTCCTCCAAAGGAAGGAGAAATACTCTTTTTTTTTTCAATTTAGGCCTTTTGTAAAGGATGAATTTAAGTCAACAACTCACCTTTAAAATCAAACTTAAAATAGCCATTCTGTTATGGAATAGATGTCAAGGAAATAATATGTGCATAAATGTTGTACAGAAACAAACTTGCATTCATACATCCTTGCAGTATTCCTAAACTGAAAACATTTCATTCTCTTTTGGAGTTATTTATAAGTGTGCAAGTGTACAAGTGTACAAGATTATCAACGAATCATTTCTAAAAAATAAAAGCTGTAGCACCATTCATGTAAACAACTTATTGTTACCTTAACTGTACAATGCTGAATTTGACTTTCACTGCTGCTAGAATGTTCAGAGATGCCACGCAATATAAATATGAAACTTCATTAGGGATTATTTTGACTGTGTTATCTTCTTAAAGCGAGAAAACTCACTTGATCCTTTGTTTATGGAAAAAAATTACTTAATAATGTTAATTAATTTTTTTATATATTGGATATATATGTAGCAATCAGGTAAACAGGGCCATGAGACCCTTTCTGTGTATAGTAGACTCTAGATTTAAGAGAAGCTGTGAGAGATAGTGTACAAAGTGTTTTGCATTTTGCAAATAATGTACTAGTAACAACATAAACTAAATTACTTCACTTACAATTTTTGCTTGACTTTGCTTGATTTACTGATCATTACTTCCTCATTCTACTATACATGTCTACTCATTGCAAGTGTCCTAAAAAAACCCTTTTCAAAGTGTTGGCCTAAAAGTAATATAAAGGATACCCCACACAAAACCTGTAGTGAGAAACTGAAAGAACAAAAATATATTAATATAATATAGTACAGGTTTGCCATATAGGACTCAACACACATTTACATTTAAAAGAGGTTTATGTATGTAATTCAGACAGTTACAGGGACAAAAAACTAGAGTTAACTCAGAAAATTATTTGACAAAGTCCTTACTGATCATCAATGAATTTGTCTGTATACTACTGCCACCCTGTAATTATCACTTGATCAAATATCAAAGTGCTTTTGGTGTGCAAGCATTTTTGTTTGACAAGCCTTCAGGATTTCTCTGCACATTGTCTGTGATTAAGATTTCTTAGTTGTATTGAACTGTTTTTATATATTCAACTCATGGCACTAGCTCATTGTCTTCTACAAGTTCCCAAGTTAATTTTAGGGTCAACATGCTACAAAACATGGTTGAATCTAGAAGATGGTAATTGCCAGTACTAACACCTTACCTTTACAAACCAATGATAAACCAGCTAAACAAAAAGATGCATCAGCTGGACTAGTAGTGCATGTAAGCTATATGCAACTAGTGAGGTGCTGATTAAAAAACAATCACTAACAATAAAAATCTAAAAGTATACATTAAATTGTTTTTTTTTGAGATGTCAATCCTGCAACATGCATTGTATATGTTGATTGTTGGGAGATAATTTATTGATATTGAAGCTGTAAATACTTTTACTGGAGTGGAACTGGAAAGAATTATCATACTTGCCTCAGTACTATAAATGGATATAAATACATGTATAATCACATTGAATAAAAGAATTTTCACGAAATATTAAAATTAAACACATTCTCATTACTGTTTAAACTTACTTGATATATCAGAAGTATAAAAGATGGCTATGACTATGATGTCATGAATGATAGTAAACAGCATTCCAAACAGAAACTACAAGAGATAACAAAATTTTGTCTATTTGTGTTTCATGATAAGCTAAGAGACAATAATTTTATTGAATCACTTTAATGAGTTGTGTGCCAATCAATTTCAAGCTTCAGCATCTTTCTTCCCCCCCAACCTTACCTGGGTTTGGGTCAGGCATTTAAAGCAGAAGGGTCAAGTCTTTCCAGCATACTACACTTGTTTTAATGGAGGAGTTTAAAGGTAAAGGGTCTGGAATAGGTTAAGAGTGAATGGCTTGGAAAGACAGTTTTCACATCCTCACTTCACTTCTTGAGTGCTAGCTGCTTCCTATAATGTGCTTTACAACAGAACAGAGCACAGTCAAGGCTTCTCTATTTATTTCATACTAAAGAATCCTTTAAATTCCCCATGCAATAAGCTAATCAGAATCTTTGTTAAAATGGTTCAAATAGTCTGATTGGTTGAACAAGAAATAGTTTGACAAGTAGAATTCAACACTTTTGCCTGAAGTTATTTTTAAGTCTCTAATACATAATCTGAAAGTGAAATGTTCCATGAAATCCAGCCAAATTGTGGCTTATAAAAACACACAAGGTATTTTTGCATAGCAATTAGCTATAGAATACAAACTGTTCAAGGCGTGTGTTTTATGAATGTACAACAGCCAAATTCTTGAAAACCATGAAGATTCAAGCAACAACAAGCAAGAGCTAGCAAGATCAAGCTCTTAGTTGTTCACTTAAAGGGTGGACGATGTAATTTCTGAGGCTTTCTTCACTGCAATGACTGAAGATGGTCATGATCAACTAGCCACAGTGGCTAAGACACTGTCATGATTGGTATAAATTTTGACTGTTATGCCAGTTTGGCTTTATTTTTCATCACTCCTGTTTGGTTCTGTTTTGTTTTTGAACATAAAACTATATATACTGCATGAGTGTTAGCTGTGATTGATTTTTAGTACTGTTCATACATAAGCTTGTAATCTAACTGAGCATGAAAACCTTCAAAACTTGTACTGTCCATTTTGTTTTCTCTTTGAGGATTTTCGTCTCTGCTCACATTATGATAATGTAAATTAGGATGCCAATGGCATGTTTAAAAACCCTTCTTTGGTTCTTCTGTTGCTATTTTCCAGCTCACTTGTTCCAAAATTTCATTTTCAATTAACAAAAAAAAAAGCTAGAGAGAAACCCGGGAAAAGGTCAACATAGTACAATTTGGCAGATGGCATTACAGCTCTAGCTCAGCTCTATGCTTTTTACTCTGATCGAGCACATTCTTTCAACCAATGACAGAGAGCATTATACCTAAACTCTATTATAAATGAAATTAATAATAAATCTCATTTATACAAACCAACTGAGAGGCATCTTCATTGCTTGGTGATGCTATTGCCCACACTCCTACAGCCAGAACAGCTAAGTTACAGAACAAATATGAGGTCGGTAACCATTGGGATTGATCACCCCTTTAAAAAAGGGGGAAAAAAGGAAATCAATAAGTGTCACTAATGATGGCTATAACAATGTTTGTGAATATGTTACTTGTAGTTATGAGTTGGAAATAATTTACAGCAATAATAAATATTAAAGGGAACCAAGAAACCAAAACTAAAATGAAGAAGAAAGTTGGTGTTTCCAAATAGCAAATTTCACCGTCCTGACAGTTGACTTCTTCTTTCAGGGAAGAGAGGGAGAGTAAAACTTTTCTGATCATTGTGAGGGTAGCAAATTGGAGGCAGGGAGGGGGGTTAGGAGGTTCTGATACCATTTCACACACAAATTTCGGAAAAATTAAAGTATCACATGGACTTTAAACAGGGTAGACTTCAAATCTCACCTTACCTGGCATTTCTGTAAAATTCACGCAACACATATTAATTTTGGAATTAATCATGGGTCATGTATAGACCATTTGCCATCTTTCACAGTGGGTTCTTTATGTTGAAAAATACTCAGGTAAGCTATTCTACACCCAATATATAGCTTACTTATAATCAGAAGGAGAAGCCAGGAATGGATGACAAGAGAGCTTATTAATTCTGAGTGCAGCTGCTCCAAATCACTCCACCCCAGCTTTTTGACCACTCCCCTCCCACTACCCCACAGGACTTATCATGACCAATAGTTTTTTTGGCTCTGCAACCCTTAAAATCCACGCAAAATTTATTCACGAGAGAAATAAAGAGTCCATCCTTTTCAGTTTATCACAACGCTGGTCATTTCTCCAGTGTTCCTCAAATAAAGTTCCCCTAGATAATTAATTTCACTTTCAGAAGTTAACAAATTGAATTAATTCCCGCTTTGTTGCTACTTCACGTCATTCTATCACGTCTTTCGAACATCTGGTTTTATATACTTACCATATCGTTAGAATGAAATGAACTGACACCACGATCTAGAAATGTTAAAAGAAATCCATCAATCATTTCAAAACTACTGACATATGCGCACTCAGTTCTACCAGTCGATCTTCCGAGGGTGTCCAATCAAAGTCGAAAGGAAACTTGAAGACGAATCTGCTAAATGTAAACGTACTGACCTTTAGTGAAACAGACGGTATGCTGACTCTAATGCTTCCATCCATGGCGAATCGTCCAAAATCTCCGCTAGATTATGCTGCTAAATCTGAACTCTAGTGGAATAGGCAAAACCAAAGTCACGAGAATAGATACTGTAGTACCCAGACTCCTCTTCCGTCTCAATTTGACGACAACTAGAATAAGACAAGTAACGATGATAACTAAAAATATAGGAAAATGAAAGAGTGTTTGGAAATCCGAAGAAGGAAATATGAGTAACTGTCACTATCGATCTGAAAATATCGCTATTTTCAAAAAATAAAAATGAATTTTGAATAAGTGACACGAACAGAACTCACCTCGCGAATTTACCACGCGGGAGAACGCGCGGAAGAACACGCAGCGACAACGCGAGACGCGAAATGAGGCAATAGTAGTACCCAGGTGCTTTGGATCCGAGTTTCAAAACAAAATGGCGACTAATAACAATGATCAAGCGGTGTTGGAGAGCATTTTTAATCCTATGTTACCCTTAGGCGATGCTGCTCCGAAGCTTCAAAATGAAAACGACGTTAATGAAGAAAATACCGAGGATGCCATGCTAGCTAAACAACTGGAGGCATCTGGTGTTGAGAAAGCAGAACAGGGCGATCTAGATGAGGCATTGGAGTGTTTTAATCAAGCTTGCGAAATTTGCCCTTTACGTTCTTCGTGTTTCAACAATAGAGCTCAGCTGTGGAGGTTAAAAGGTAATTATGGCGTTCACTTTGTTCAAAGTCTCTAAGGTATCATCTTGAAATTATTTTATTTCTTAAAGCTGCTTTCATGAATGTACATTGATAAAATAGGTGTACTTTAGAGGAAGGACATTGTGATTTGGGTCTCCGGGACTTGGTTTCAAGAAGAAGATGAAACTGAGAATGAGAGTAAGACTAAGTCAAGAAATAGGCTTGGAAATGGAAGTATACCTTCCCCTTCCCCTGTGGCACTCTCTCTTCAAGAACTGGACCCTAGTCACTTTTTTGCAATCTCTGTCTTCAGTCACTTTTACTCTAAAATTGAAACAGCCGGGATGCTTTTTATTTTTTTCATCTTTTTCGTGCATGAGATGCCAGGGGGTAGCAAGGTATTTTAAAGGGATGGGGGAGGGGTGGGACTCATAGTGAAGAATTTCCATTCACCCCATGTGGATTGGCTGATATGGCTGCTCTGTTGTGTGTTTAAGTAGGCTTGTATTTGTGTAATGAGAAGGACTGACAATTGAAGTATCAAGCACTGGGACAGTTTAGTGCCATTTGTACATTTTTCGGATTTCCATTTTCTTTTTACACCTGAAGTGTAAGATTTGTAAAGGTATGTTGTTGACATAAAAAATGTTATATAACAGAGGAATTTTGCCCGTTTTTGAAAACTATGGTACATTTTCTTTAAGTGTGCTTTTCAAAAAGGGGAACACTAAACAGGTCCAAATTGTTTAGATATTGTTAATAAAGCATGATATCTTCTTTGCTTTGAGTTACATACTTGCTGTTGTAAAACACAATTTACTACTTCCAGACTAGACTTAAAGCAATGACTCAACCTGTCAAAATGTACAGTCTATCACAGTTAGCATCATGTTTCTATTCAATGCCATTTTGTTGCCTGTGGAAGCAGGAACTGGGATTGACTCATCTTCACTCAGGTGTGAACAGTCCCCTTAAACATTGCAAAATTGCGAGTACACTGAACTATGGATAGAACTTGAACATAATAAATTGTAGCCACCAAAAAAGTCAGGACTCTGGTAATGTTTGCCTCAAGAAACCTGAAAAAATATGCTGATTATGCCAGCACTGATACATTTATAAAAAGAGCTATAATTATGCTTCTTGTTCCAAATTTTGCCAAAAGTTATGTTAGCACTATCTAATAGGGCTTTAAGCTCAAGCTATGTCCCTGTATTGGTGCATTTTTGTCAGATCTTTTCTGTAGAAGACAGGGAGATCAGTTTAGGGTGGGTCTTGATCTTTCCTTCAACAAGACTGAATCCTATACTGATATTGATTTACTGGTATGACTTATGACTTTAGGAGACATACCCAGTGCTCTGGAAGATTTAAACAAAGCCATTCAACTGGGCGAAGACAGAGGTGCTGCTACTGCCCAGGCATACACCCAGCGAGCATTAATTCATAGGCTGAATGGAAATGAAGACAAAGCACTTGAGGACTTTACAAAGGCAGCAGAACTTGGCAGTGCATTTGCAAAATCAATGGTTGTACAGTTGAATCCATATGCTGCCATGTGTAACAGAATGCTTGCTGATGCCATCAACAAGCTTAGAGGAGAGCCACATTAAATATGATTATTGTAAATTTTTCTCAAGCCATGGAATTTGTAACTGTTGTGCGTGGATTGATGTTCACATGGATGTCCATTTTTCTGTTAGATAGGAACAGATATTTAATAGTCAATAACCAGGTGATAAACCTGTGACCAGAACTGAGTAGGAAGAAATGCAGTATACATTTTGAAATACCATTCTACTTTTGCAGCATTTTACCATACTTGGAAAACAGAGCACCCAAAGTATGTAACAGGATTGGTATATTGTGCAACAAGGCAAAATTACACGCAGAGGTTAAAGTAGACAAATGGCTGCACTATATGCACCAAAGTTTGATTTGTTTACAGCCTTAATAATGGTTAAGTGACCAACTTTTACATGTATGTAACACAAATTTTTTCAGTTTGTTTTGAAGGAAACTTTAATGGTTTTTTTCACTTTTGTCTTTGGTGCATGCTTTAGTGACATGATTCTCAGATAATGGTGTTGGATGTTTTTTCAAATAATTAAGGCCAAAATTCTAGATAATTGAAAAAGGAAATTAAAATCCCTTTTTGATGGTTTCACACATGATGCAAGAAGACATTATGCTCATTGCATAGGGGCAATGTGGGCTTCACCTCCTTTTTTTTTGGCTGGCTTTCTTGAAGATTCAATAAAATGCCCTGATGTGAACATTTACAGGTACAGGTACCTGTGCTGCATTTTCTAATGTTTATTTTAACCTGGAGATTAGTAGTGGAAGGCCTTGAAGGTCAGCAATGTATTCAGAATTAGGTCAAGAGTGGAGTTTTGTTGAAATTTACTTTGGTTGCTAAAGTTTGCAAGAGTATTGACAGTTATTACACAAACTGCTGTGTTTTCAACATAGAACTTCCTAGTAACATACCTTGCGACATAGGATCAATGAGGGTTACATTTGTCAAACTTTGATGGGATAAATATGGGAATTAAAAATTTCATTATTCCTATCTGGAAGGTATTTCCTAACACAGGTGATGTTGAGTTATTAAAAATAAAATGGCATTAGGAGTTAATTATGTCTCATTTAGTGAAGTTAACATTTGAATTTTGTACATCATCAATAATATTTCAAATTCTTTCTATCATCATCATTATTCTTTTCATCTAAATGGAGAAGAGTGGAACAATTCCTGTCAAAAAGGAAAATGGAAGAAAATCAAAAGTAGCGATTACACTCTGGCCTTAGGCCAAAAGTGTGTCAAAAGTATATCACTTCCCAAGAATGCTCTCTCCATTCCAATTTGGTCTCCATTGTCCAAGGCAGTAATGCACATTTCCAACATATCTCTGTAGTTTGTGGGAAGACTCGTGCATTTGTTATAGCTTCTCACCAGTTTTAACTTTCCGGGCCGATCTTGACTATGCTTCAAAGTTTGCTCATTTGGTAGAGGCTCATTAACAGTATGATACTCTGCACATGCACCAAGAAATGTGGGTCCTCCCCTTCCCGAAAGAACTCCTTGGAACAACGTCCTACAATTTTGACAAGGAAGCCCAGTATTCAAAGAATCATATCTTTGAGTTTTAAAGGCATATGAAAATTTCCAATCATGTCGATCTGGATTATTCAGAGGACAGAAATGTATACCTGAAGCTCCAAGGCTTTCTTTAAGATTGGTGATTCGATTGTACAAACAGATAGGCCTTACAAAGTCACTTACTGCTATTGATGCACCTACAAAAAACTTCTTCGAGGGCTTATGTTCAACTATCGCTAAAACGTCTGGTGAGATGTTTTTGGGTCTATGATGGGCTAGCCAGAATTTTGCTATTTCAAATACACCGTTGACGTGCTCTTCGCTCCCTCTTTGGGTAAGACTCTCCATGAGGTGGCTGAACTGAAATATGACACTATGCAAAAATTCGTCAAACTAAAATCCCAATATCAGAATGTTAACTACAGGGACCAATCTCATTCTCAAGAAAGTACATGGTCGCTTGCTCACCCTTTTGATTTGACCGTGCCGGAACCAACCTTGCAGTCTGCAAACGGGTCATTATAAACCCAAACGTTTTGTCTGAAATTCCTACACTGATAATGAAAGGAAATTTCACCAAAATGCCCCGATAACGTAGAAGAGCTTTTCTGCACCAGCTAAAAGACAGTACCCCTTTCAAGCACCGTTCCACAGCACTAAAACTGTTCTGACTGGTTTTACTGAGCTTAAATTAATCTTAGTTCAATTTGTTGCAGTGATTAATAAGGTGCATTAATTAGCACGAGCAAGGCATGTGAAATCTCAATCCACTTAAAATGTGAATGCAATTAAAAATCCGAATTATGGCCGATATTCTGATGTATTTTCCTGACCGCTTTCCTACTCACCATTTCTAAGAGTTTGCTTAAGCGGTCCATAAAATGGTTTGACCGGTTCTCCTTCAGCTCCTCTATCTCTCCGTTGGTAAGGCCGGCCCATCTGCTCATCTGCCCACTCAGAAGTCTGTCAGTATCGGGCGGCGTGTTACAACGGTATAAGAACATTGATTGTTTTTCTGTCACCGAAACTCATCTATCGGCACAAGTATCTGATAATGAAATTGGCTACCGTTTGGGTCGACAAGCTCAAACGAAGGGTGCGATGTTGCTGTCTATGTTCGCGATTGTTTGTCGGTATCTAGACGAGGGGATTTGGTTGGAGATTCATTGTTGGACACCATTCTTTCAACACACCCACACAATATTTCACTAAAGAAAGTTATCTAACAGGGTATAAGTGATCACTTTATGGTTGAATGCGTTCGGAAAACGAACCCATTAAGGTTCCAAGCACGAACCCTGAAATGCCGCAGTTACACCAAGTACAACAAAGAAGCTTTTAATAATGACCTCAAGATGGTCTCGTGGATTCGGTTTTAAAAAAGTTCTGATGTAAAGTCTGCATGGAACGGCTTCAAAAGCATTTTTTTTGATATCTGTGATCGGCATGCACCATTGCTTACTAAAAAAGTACATGGTTATCAAAATCCGTGGATGACCTCTGCGATTTCAAACTTGATGAAATCTAGAGATTTCAACTTAAAAAAAGTAAAGAAATCTGGGTGAGACGAGGATTGGGCTTCTTATCGATTACATAGAAATCAAGTCACAGCTGCTACAAGGAATGCCAAGTCTGATTATAATCGAAACTTGATTCAAGAAAATCTCGACGATCCGTGCAGCTTTTGGAAGACTATGAAGAAACTCTTCCCAAATAAATCAAGTCAAGTTCCGGATCAATAAACCAACTGAAATTCGATGGAGAGTTGATCACGGATAAAGAGAGTATCGCCGGTTGCTTTTGTAAATACTTTTCAGAGATTTAATTGCGACTCTCAAATCAATTCCAGAGAAGCGCCGTTGCTACTTCGTTTTGTTCCAAATTTACTGATGATAAATGTCACTTGGCACTAGTATCTAATGGCTTCATTCACAAACAGCTGGCTGAGTCAAAGGTATCAAAGGCAACAGGTCTTGGTGGCCTCCCGTTCAGGTTGCTAAAGGTTAGTGTTGTAACTATCAGCGTACGTTTCACGCATATCGCCAATCTGTTAATAACTACCCAATGTGTACCCCATGATTGGAAGCACACTAAGGTCATTTCACTTTGCAAGGATGGCGCGAGGGATGATATTGATAACTATCGCCCGATTTCAATTTTGTCTGTGGTGTCAAAAATTCTCGAAAGGGCTGTTCAACAGCGACTAGTAGATTATCTGGAGTCACGTGACCTGTTTTCAAGATACCAATGCGGATTCCGTCGTAAGTACTCTGCACAGACAGGAATTACTTTCCTTACTGACTCCATTAGAAGAAGCGTGGATGCTGAACTCCGAACAGATGCCATTTTTGTAGACTTCTGTAAGGCATTTGACGCTATTGACCACAAGATTTGATAAGCTGCAGTTGTTTGGGATTTGGGGTAGTGAACATCTTTGGATGTCTGATTACCTAACTGACCACACCCATCTGTTTTCGTAGGAGGTGTTCTGTCCAGTCGCCAACAAGTAGTTTGTGGAGTTCCGCGAGGTTCTATGCTGGGCCCGTTGCTATCTTCATTGTATGTCACTGACCTACCGAGCTGTTGGCAAGCTTCTAATGTGTTAATGTACGCAGATGATACCGTCATCTATTATGCTGCCTCAAATGTTAACCACTTACTGCAAGTGTTGAATGACGAGGTCAAGATCCTTTTGGATTGGTCTAACAAGAGCAATCTATTTATCATGTTCATCCTAAGAAAACTGAATATGTGATCTTTTGAACATCTGTGAAACTCAATCAGTTTGACTGTTAATCTAAGTGAAGTTAACTTCGAAGGTCAAGTTGTAAATCGTGTACCTTTTTATAAGTATATAGAGATGTACCTAGACCAGTCCCTGTTTTTTAAGGAACATGTTACTCGGCTGAATAGCAAGATACCTAGTCACCTTGGTTTGTTACGTGGGGCACGTAATAACTTACCGGTCTATACAGCTGAAAGAGTCTTTACAACAATGATACTTCCCAAATTAGGTTATTGCCATTTTGTTTTGAACAACTTAGCTCCTTCTAGTTATTAATCTTTGGAGCGACTTCAAACGAGGGCCGCAAGAATTATTCTGAAGGATAGTAATCTAAGTTATCATCAACTGAATAATGGCTGTAAATATATGAAAATCATATTTGTGCACTGCGGTTTAGGAAACGAATATAGAATCGATCCTCGCAGTTATGAACGCTACAAAACTACTGAGTAGTTGAAGTAAGGCCTGAAAAAAACTCAGGCCCCTACGGGATTTGAACCCATGACCTCTGCGATACCGGTTTAGTTAACCATCAACTGATATGCCAATTAAGTTGGAAGTCCCTTAAGGCGCGTTCTATTATGCACAATTTAACTTTTGTTGGTAAGTGTCTCCATCACATTGTTCCAGATCTTTTTAAGAGTTATTTTATCAAGTCCTCACATGTTCATTCCCTAGGCGTAATTGTTTAGATATTTTAATTTCTAAAGTCTGTACAGAATCTGCCAAAAAAGGAACATTTTATTTTGGAGCCAAGGCTCTCTAGAACTTGCCACCGCATCTAAAGGAAGTTGACTCTATAGGGATTTTTTAAACACGGCTTAATGATATTGTTTCTCATGGATCTAGAAAATCTTTTGGATTTGCTTAATTTACTCAGTTATATAATTCTTAGTTGTTATCCATTGACATTGTTTAAATTTTTTTAAAATTTTTCTAATGGTTCATCTGTTAAAGTTATTTTTCTTTAATTGTAAAATTTTTCATTGCCAAGGGCACCCGTTTATAACGGCTTCAACTGACGGATTCATCCTGTTTAAATATATTATTATTATTATTATTATTATTATTATTATTGTGACAAGATTTTAAAGGTGCAAGTACGAGTGAACTCTTAAACTTCAGTACATGTCTTCAAAACGTCCCCTTAGTGTCGCGTATTATTCCTCAAAAAAATTGTGATCACCTTCTATACGGTATATCATGCGCAGCGGTTAATCTAAGAACCTCTTCTAACAATTCATTGATAGGTTAAAGACGACTGTAATTTTTTGGCCTTGCCAAGTGATTGGTTGATTCACTGTTAAGGGCAATGAATATTTCATAATGTATGAGTTGATAGGAAACGATCGCAAAAAACTTTGGCAAACTGTTTGAAAACTTGTTTTCGAAACTTTCAAAACAGAGGTGCTGTCATGGACGTGAATTGCAATGATCCGTTTTAACGACTCTAAATGACAGTCCCGAACAAGGTAGAGTCAGGTCAGTCAAACTGTCCCAGTTGCTTTATGCTGATGCCGCGAACGATGTCTTTACAAGAGAATCATTGGTAGGTAAGTTTTTTTCAGTTTTAATTTTTTTGGTATTGATGAAATAAATGGAAATAACTTAAAATTTCCTCTCATCAAATGCTGCCAGCATTGAAATGTTTTGAAAAGAGAACATGCAATCATACTACATCTTAAGTTTTTTAGTAATGATGAGACTGACAATACAAATATAACTTGTTTTCCAAGTGCAATTCATCTTA